TGAAGACAGCAGCCCTTCTGTATTTCATGTAACTTTTGTATTTTCTAAGAAAAGTTTACTTCGACAAGGTAGAGTGGACAAAATCAGGATGGAAAATAATTGTCCATTGTTTGGTTTCAGATTCTGGGCTGAAAGCAAACTATGATTTGTGACTACCATAGTTTGTCCTTTTCAGAATAATAACAAAATATAAAGAAGGGAGGAAATATTTTCCGTCTGAAGGGATAGATTTCAGGATGAAGCTCTTTCTTGTCTCAAGGAAAAAGTCAGCTAAGAATAATCAAATGTAATTGGGAAGGAGATTCTTATAAACATGTTAGAAGTTGAGAATTCTGTTTTGTAAACAAACTGTAATACCTCCAAACCTAGATATCTCCAGCATAATGTAAAACCTTTGAACAAGTGAAGTATTTGCCTTATTAGAGATCTTTCATGAATAGAAGTGGCAAGGTTAGAATCCCTAAATACTAGTAGATTTTGCCATACATTAGCTGATTTGTGCCTTTTAATGTCAACTTTAAATCTTTCCTCAAACTTCTGACAGTGGGTACAGCTTCAAATGACATTTCCATTACTCGGGAATTTTCTATGTCATTTAAGGGTCTTTGCATAGAACTGAAATTAATCATATTTAAAATGTGGAAGTGTTTATACATTTGATTAGAATCTGCTGATGGACTCCCTTTTGAGACTTGAACTTTATCTGAATAGTTGGCAGTAATTTAAGAAATTGGGAGGAGAGGTGTCCAATTTTTTCACTCCTTTTAGGCTTCTGTTGACTTTAGGAAGATGTAATCAGATTTATATAGCCACCAGTTATCTTAGTGTAATTGCAGTTTCCCCCTTTTTCCTATACAAGGTGTGTGTGTGTGTGTGTGTGTATGTTCCATATTCTTTGTATTTTACATTATAAAAAACGAAAGTCTATTTTTTATTCTAACATCATTCTGAGTATGTCAATCTGTATAAAAGATGCATTCAACTATCTCCAAAAAAAAAAAATTATTGTGAGAAAAATGAGTCTATCCTCCATATGCATTTTGCATGTTTCTCTCTCTCCCTGATATCCCTTTTGAGTAGTAGTTCAGAAATGTTTGTATCTACTTTCGATTGACACTTTTGTTGCATTATTCAAACTCTGCAAAGTATGGTTAAGCTTAACTATAGTTTGTCTGAAGCAAGCTATCTTGAAACAGTAATTCACGAAACTGTTTTGCTTCTATAATCCAGTGTGAAGATTAATAATAGTTTAGTGTTTGTATGTAGTACTAAATTACAGTTAAATAAAATCAGAAGCAAAAGCATCTGGTCTGCTGCAGGAAAGAGGGAAAGGAGGAGAAACATGAGTAGACAAAGCTTGACTCATTCTCCTTAATTCATCCTGACATCTGAATGCAGTTGCAATCTTAACACTAAGAAGCAAATGAATTAGTAACATATTAATTATTTCTGGAATACATATTTTTCTGTTACTGTGTATACACTAAATTTGTTTTGTGTTTATTTGTAAAACATGGCAGAGGCTGCATATACACTATTGCTATATGATGAACTGTTGGAATGGTCAGAGAGGCCATTGCGGGAATTCCTGAACTATCCTATGCAGACAGAATGGCAGCGCAAAGAATATCTTCATCTCACTATCATCCAGAATTTTGACAGGGGAAAAGTAAGAGAGTTTTGGCTGCTATTTTTTTTTCTACTATTCTTTCTTTTAAGCATTCAATTATTAATAATGCTTGCAACTACTCTTTTAGGTTGCTTTATACAGCATATTTGATATGCAAATTAAATTGCACATATTCATATAAAGTCTGAAGTTGGCTGCTGTGGAAAATTTCAGCCTGTACCCAGCACACATATTTCATTGAATGTATATCTTTCACATAGGCTCACATAAATTGCAATAATGGTTTCTAAAACAAGGGTGATTTATCTTTGACCCAACATTTGTACCTACTGTACCCTCTTATGTTGATTTATGAGCTGTATTACATATTTTTAAATTCTATGAATTTAAAATGACAGGGTCTATAAAAACTTATTACATTTCAGATTTTGCTATCTTACCTAAAAAGCTTGTGCACTCCAATTGTCATGATAAAATATGAATGCGGTTTGGATTATGGATTTAATATATTTTGATTGGCCCTTTAATTTCTGCTGTGTCCTAAAACCCTGTTAAACTGGGATAGAAAGAATCACATAGCTGTTTCTACAAGGGGTTTGGGCTTTTTGTTTCTTGATGGCAGAACCCCGGCACTTGACAAATTACTTTGGAAACTAAATAGTCTTATAGAAGCAATTCATAGTAAGATTGTTGTTTGAAAATCCCTGTGAGTATTCCTACCTTTTTTGTGTCGAAAAACCTCTTCTTGAGATCTAGTTTGTTTTATAAAATTTATGCAGATACAAATAGTCCTTGCTTAATGACCATTTGTTTAACGATGGTTCAAAGCTATGACAGCCTCATAAGAAGTGCTTTACAACCTATACTCGCCTTTACGGCCATCGCAAAGTGTCGCACCATCCCCTGTGGACATGTGTTCATGATTTGTGACCTTTTTTATTATGGTTGTTAAGTGAATCACCATGGTCATTAAGCAAATCACATGGTCATAAGTGAATCACATGGTTAAGCAAATTCTGGCAAAAAACATCCATTGGGGAAGCTGGATTCGCTTACGACCATGTGATTCATTCAACAACCATGTGATTCGCTTAACGACCATTGTAAAAATGGTTGTAAAATTGGGTCCATCATGTGATGACTCACTTAACAACCACCCCACTTAACGACCACTTTCCAGTCCCTATTGTGGTTGTTACACAAGGACTACCTGTACATCCCAGGCTATAGCCTCTTTCAGTGTGAAGGATAGGAAAGAGATTGTGTGGCCATATCTTTGACTTTGTTCTCCCTCCCTCACTCTCCCACTACAAGACACAAGTACAGAAGTAGAGACTTTATCACAAATATCTGGATCAATGAATACCAGCCTTCACATATAAACTTCCATGCATAGGCATGGTAGAAGCCACAATGACATCAAAATGACGTCATCATTTTGCAAATAAGAGAGTTACATACTTGCATCACATGACTCAAGTATATATTTGCACAATGATGTCATGATGCATACAGTGTCACTTGCCCTGCCCATTTCCTGCTGACACTCAGGCTTCTGTGTACAGCAGTTCCCAGTTCTTAGATCATTGTGCAGTTTTATGTAAATGCTTCCATAGCAGCCACACTGATGCCTAGAGAGTGGGATGGATCTCGAGGAGCTTTGTACTATAGAAGTGCTTCCTCTTTAATGGTGGTATGCCCTTTAGAAAAATAATGTTAAAGTAAGTTTTACATAAAACTTTGTTTTAAATGTTTTAAAGTAAAATAAATGAGTAAATAATTTTTTTTAAAAAAAAATCCTATATGTAGAGGAGAACTGAACTTCTCTGTGCCCTTGCAATGAATTTGGTCTCATGGGAAATAATGATCATATGAACTTAGCCTATATTCCCAAGCCTGAACATGTGTATTTTAATTGGCCCAATGTAGGGAGAACTGTTGATACAGCATGTTGCAAGCATTAATCATGCAAAGTGTATTAAAATTTTGGTCCTAGTGGAGGGGAAAGCCAATATTTGAACTCTGCTTGAAGGAGCAAAGTGATTTAAACCAGCATCAACAGTACCTTCTGACTCTCCTCTATGCATACATTTACCAAATATTTGAATAACACTGTGTGCACAGTTCTGCCAATGGTATTCAGTTGTACATGAATGGGACAATCCATGTATCTGACAAGTCAGTTGTTCTGAGCACCTATGAGTGCAATTTAATAAGATTTAATATATTGCCAATTTTCATAAGCAGCTGTTCTCTTCCTGTCGGATAATGTTAGTGATTATTAGGTTAGATTACTGCTAACAGGAGACACTTGAAAATCTGTTTGGAACAGCTAAAAAACCTTAAGAATCTTCTCTCTGATGAAAACTCCTTTCTTTGTCTACAGTGCTGGGAAAATGGCATTATCTTATGCAGGAAGATTGCTGATCAATATGAAAACTATTATGACTACAGAAATCTCAGCAAGATGCGGGTAATGAAGCTGGATGTTTTTTGGTATAAATGTTATTTGCACAGTATTGTCTTTCACAATTAGACTATCATTTTTACCCACAGTGAAGACAGCTCTGAATTTAAGATGACCCCTCAAAGGAAGAGTAGATAAAAACAACAACCCTAAAAGAGACAAAATTATTGTGTGATGCTCAGTGTGCCTACGTTATTAATTTGGGTTGTCAGTTCTAGCTGAAACAAATACTTGATAATTAAACAGAGAGAGAGGATTTATTTATCTTCTGTGGGTAAAACTAAGAGTGTAAATGTAGTAGTGACTTTTGTTTTATGGCATAGTATCTATGAGTATGTATTATACAAACTTCAGCTATTGGGTGGTTTTAAGAATGTAATAAACAAACTATGTCTGTGCAAGTCAATCTAGAGTTATACTGTAGGCTTTTACAGTTGGTATCTGTTGGGCAGTGTTGGGCTTCAGGGTTTAGTGACCATGGTCTAGACAAGAGATTTCCTGACATTTCTTCAGCAACTGTGGCTGGCATCTTCAAAGGCAAGGTGGTCTGCTACACAGGCCACAGGCAACTGAACAGGGACTAAGTGGGCTCCTGTCTTTATAGACAAGTGACCTGATAGCTAGTGACTTTATAGCCAGGCTATAAAGACAGTAGCCCAGTCAGTCTTTGCTTGGTTGCCTGTGGCCTGTCTAGCAGACTACCTTGCCTCTGAAGATGCCAGCCACAGTTGCTGGAGAAACATCAGGAAATCTCTTGTCTAGACCACAGTCATTAAACCAATCAAAGTTACTTTGGTTACAAATTTGTACAATAGAGGCAATGTGATTCTCTCATAGAAACAAAGAGGCAACATGATTTGCTTTGTTGAAGCACTATGTGTTCTTCAAAGTTGCTCACCATGTCCTACCTGTCATTTGCCAAAACCAGAGTTCAGTGCAGGCATTGCACATGCACACAAACTAAGTTCATGCCAGAGAAGGCAGACCAATTTTTTTTCTGACGCAGCTTCCTAAAGATTGACATAAACTATGTTGGAGGAGGTGTGTGCTGTCCCTTCCACAATGCTCGCCAAAATATTTCAATGAATGGTCTGGAGGAGGTGAATGGCACATCCTCTGTAGTACATGCTGAAAGTTTCTGCATAAGCATCCTGGAGGCGGTGACTAGCATGTGCTGTGAAGCAGTTGCCAAAGATTTCAGTGATGGCACTTTTTTGCCTCCTCCTTTGGCAAGTATACCAGAGGATGCAACACTCAGTGCTTCTAGACAGCTCACCAGAGCTTTTGGCAGACGGTCTGGAATAGGTCAGCAGCATCTCCTCTGCTTTTCCAGCAGCTTTGCAAAACAGAACAAAGTGAAGCAACATGATTGTTACACTTTGCTATTATGCCATAGTGCATTGTGAAATAGCTTTGGAGGAGTGCTTCATCTGAACCTTTGAATCTGCATAGCAGTATAATATACCTTGTACAGTGAGATGGGCAGCATATATAAATTTGTAAATAAATAAATAAAATAAAAGTGTATAATTGAAAAAGAATACAAATCAAAAGAGAAAAGGATAAAGGAGGAGCCAAACGAGTGCTGTTTCTTTTGACAAATCCAAAACTTTCTCTAGTACATTTTTATGTAACCATATGATTTAAATCATTTTTTGATATCTACGTGAGATCATAATTGTATTATATTTCTTGTTTTTGCTGTTTTGATTAGTAAGACAAAATGTCCTTCTTTCTCAATTATTTATTCATTTAAATCCATATAGGTGATGGAAGCTTCTTTATATGATAAAATTATGGATCAGCAACGTTTGGAGCCTGAGTTTTTCAGAGTTGGATTTTATGGGAAGAAGTTTCCATTTTTCTTGCGAGTGAGTATGGATGGGTTTTTTCCCCACAAAAGTTATCATGCATGACAATGTTAGGCCAATACTGCTAGAACATAGCATCCCTTTACGGGTAAAAACTAGGTCCAACATTTTAAGAAGTTGTGTGTACCATTTAAACATGCAGTACTTCGAAGTTTTCATCTGTCTCCTTGTATTCAGTTGCTTATAGTATTTTGATTTATGTCGCTCCTCATCAGGATTGATCCTATTTCACGTTGTCTTTTCATGAATAACAAAAAGATGGCTAGGAACTATTTTTCATTGCCACAGAAACTAGCCCAAAAACATAGGAATATGTCACAGGTGAGATTTCATTTCAATATAATGAAAAACATGCTGGTGGTAACATCTATAAAACTGTGAAAAAGTCTACCTAGGTAGGTTGTGGTTTTCCATTTCCAGAGGTTTTTAAGAAGAGGGTAATTTAATTGGTTTTCCTGCACATTGAGTATTGACACCTTGAACTTTGGTGTTGGAGAAGGCTCCTGAGAATACTGTGGACAGCCAAGAGAACAAATGGATGGATCATCAAAGAAATCAACCCAGAGTTCTCACTTGAGGCACAAATGACCAGACTCAAATTATCCTATTTTGGACACATTACGCGAAGACCATCTCTCTGGAAAAGGCTCTAATGCTGGGAAAGGTGGAAGAAAAGAGAAGAAGAGGACGATCAGCAACGAAGTGGATGGACTCTGTCACAGTGGCGATAAATAC